CTGAAAGCAAGCAAGAGTAGCTGTCTTATTCTCAGGCATAGCAAATTTCAAGACAAAAGTTGTCAGAAGAGACAAAGGTGGCCATTACATACTGCAAAAGGGAGCAATTCAACAGGAAGAGATAACAATTATGAATAACCACATACAGAATGTTGGCACACCAAATTTCATAGAACAAAAATTACTGGACATAAAAGTCAGGTAGATATTAATACAATCATAGTGGGGGACTTCAATACTCCACTCTCAATTAGGTCAACTTGACAAACAATTAACAAATATTGGACTTAAACCACACCACTGAATAAATATCTACAGAAGGGTTTCATCCAACAATAACAGAATACACATTTTTCTCAGCAGCACACAGAACTTTTTTTCAAAATAGACTTTGTCTTGGGCCATAAGACATGGTTAAATAAATACAAAAGAATTGAAATAATCTCCTACATGCTATTGGATTGGATCATAGTGGAATGAAGCTAGAAAACAACAGCAAAATAAACCATAGAAATTACATAAACACATGGAGATTCAACAACCAATTACTAAATAATCAATGGATCACAGAAAAAATCAGGGAAGAAATAAAAAAAGTTCCTAGAATCAAATGACAATGGAAGCACAACAAACCTATGGGAAACAATGAAAGCAGTTCTAAGAGGGAAGTTTATAGTTATGAATGTACACATTAACAGAATTGGGCAATTCCAAATAACCTAATTATCTATCTCAATGTCCTAGAAAAACAAAAGTAATCCAATTGTGAATCTAATAGAAGGAAAGAAAGTATAAAGGTCAGAGCAGTGAATAGACACCTCTCAGAATAAGTACAAATGAGCACTACATAAATATTCAACTTCTCAGACCAGTTGAGATATACAAATTAAAGCAGCACTGAGAGTCCGTCTTATGCCAGAAAGAATGACCATCATCAAAAAACCGATGACAAATGCTGAAAAGACTGGGGGAAAAAAAGAATCCTTCTTTTTTGGGTTTTATTGGTGGGAATGTAAACTAGTACAGCCACTATGAAAATCAGTATGGAGATTCCTCAAAAAGCTAAAAATAAAACTTTCACTCCTCAAAAAATAAAATAAAGTAAAATAAAAAGGTTAAAGGCTCTTAAGGAAGGTGGAGATTAATTGCTGAAATTATTAGAGACATCTTTATGAAAAAGAAGGATTTGAGACAGATTTTCAAGAAATGATGGAATTAGGAAGAGCAGAAAGATTATGAACTATCATAATAAAGACATGAACAATATTTTAATGAAAATGCGAGTACCTTGTAAGTTAAAATGTGATTTCAGTGCAGTTCAAAAGAAGCCCATTAAATATGTTATAGACCTCTGGAAAACAATATTTTTAACTCAAGCTACTAAAATCGAAATTTACACGAGAAGCTTAGATGTGAAATCACTTACTGAACTAAGTAGTAGAGTAGGAATCTAGGTTTCTTTCTGCATGGTGGTGCTATTTCTCTCAGGTGCTTTTCCTATGGTAGCTAGTCCTAATGAAATACTGTTTTCTCATCAATACATAGTTGTATTTTATGGATAAAGAGACCTATTTGCTTTCAACAATTTGCCCAAAAACAAATCATCTAACTTCTCTGACTCTTCATTTCTTTACCCAGAAATGGGATTAACAATAGCTAACCAGTCAATCTCATAGCAGTTGTGAACTTATATATATATGTATCTTTTTTATTTGTCAATTATTTTTCAACAAAGCTGGATAAAAGGAGAATTACAGAGATTATGGTTAAATGGAGATTCTATGCAGATAGTTTTAAGACTAAATTCTGCAGAGTTCTCTACACCATTGATTTGCCTTGTCTCCAATGACTGTAACAAGCATTGCTACATTTTTTTCTGCAGTGTAAATATACGTGAGCAGTATGATTAATTGAATGCTGAATCTTAGTGACTCACCTTTTATCAACTAGGTTGATTTACAGCAATGCAGTTTGCTGTAAAGTGTCACTGAGAAATTCTTTATATGACTTTTTATTTATATGTTAAGTATAAAATTGATTTCTTTATACTTACTCAGATTAATTACAGCATTGAAGAATGATGATGAACTGCTAATGCAGACAGAAAATGGAGCTGCAATTCTAGTTTTTCATGGCCAGTGAAAAGAAGCCTATTTGTTCATTGAGAAAAGAGCAAAATAAGAACCATAACAGTGTCTATTTTTTCTTTTATTTAGAAATGACTGAGATGAATGTAATTGTTACTAAAAAGAGAACTTGATTTGTTAAAGAGTTTCCTCACTTTATTATTTTTTGTTCCTATTTTGTACTGGCTAATATGAAAATATTATATTGTATTATGGGGTTTGATAATTAATATAATAAAATGAATGAATTCTTAGTACTTAACTAATAATTTAATAGATAATTATCAGTGAAGGCGCAAAATACACAAAGAAGCCAAATGGGGTGGCACGTGCCTGTAATCACAGCATTCCGGGAGGCCGAGGCAGGAGGATCACAAATTTAAGCCCAGCCTGGGTAACTTAATGACTTAGTGATACCCTGTCTGAAGATAAATAATAAAAAGGACTGAGCATATAATTCAGTTTGAAAACCCTGGTTTCAATCCCCAGTACTGCAAAACCAAAACCAAAACGAAAACCAAACCAAAACAAACAAAAGACAAATAAGAAACAAGACAAAAATGAAACAAAGCAAAAAACAATTCCCATACAAAGATTTAATTTCTTTTTTCGGTACTGGGGATCAAACTAGGGTCCTTGTGCTTGCACAGCAGGTGGCGAAACCACTGAGCTAAATCCCCAGCCCCAAAGATTTAATTTCTTAATAAAATACATGATTTTTCCCAGAAAATGGCAGAGTTGCCCACAAAAAAATTATACCTTGTATATAGAGTCTGATTAAAATATGGGTTACTGAATGTTAGGGGTTTGTTCCTCTATAACAAGTAAATACAAATTTGGTGGTTTAAAATAGCACATATTTATTTTCTCACAGTTTCTGTGGGTCAGCAATCTGGGTACAATCTGAATCTTTGCTTCATAGTCTCTCACAAGTCTGTAATCAAAGGATCAACTAGACCCAGAGTCTCATTTGAAATCTCACCTGGAAAGGATATGATTTCAGTCTTACATGGTCATGGCAGAATTTGGTTCTTTGCAGGGTATTGACCGAAGGCCTCAGTTCTTTGCTGACCATTGGCTATTCCTTGCTACCTGGGCTTTCTACAGGGCAGATCATAACATGGCAGCTTGCATCATCAAAGTCACCTTGGGGGGGTTTCCTAGTAAGATAGAAATTATAGTCTTATGTATTGTGATACAGAAAGAACATCTTATCACTTTTGCTGTATTCTGTGGGTTGGAAGCAAGTTACAGGTCTTGTTCACTTACTTTCATGGGGAGCAATTTATACAAGGTTAAGAGTAGCAAAGGTGGGCATTACTGGGGCCATCTTAGAATCTGGTGGGTAAGTTCTTTTGATATGGCATATAACATAGTTAAAAAGAGAAAGAAAAAACATTCAGTACCAAATTATATGAAATTAAATTTATTACCCAGAAGGAATTAATGGAAATGACTTAATAGTGTGAAAACAAAAGGAAAATTATGATGAAAAAAGCACCACTGAAAGAGCTTTTCGAAATGGTGTTCAGAGGCGACTAGAAAGCAGGGATTATGTACTATTCTAGCTGTTGCCTAGAATGTGAACTTTGTTTACCTTCTTGCTTTTACTGCTGACACATGGAATGATTGGAATGACCAGACATTTACATTGTGTCCAGGAGCTCAAGTTGCATATCAAGAGAGTATAGGAGTCTTGTTTTATGAACATTTCTATTCTGTTTGTATATTCTGTTCTTTTTTTTTTTTTTTTCTGGTTTTTGTTTAGCCCCTGTTCCTTCTCCACCTTCAATAGCCCATTCAAGTTACCACTATTTCTGCCTTCCTTGGGATACTGATTCAGAGTGATCTAAACCAGTGCCTCCTGAATTGCAATAGAATTTCCAGTCAGTTATGTCGTATCACAAACAAGCCCAAACTACTAGGTACATTATTTTCTTCCACTGTTCTGTCTTTTCTCCAGCTATGAAATAAGAAAGCCTTACATCAGACCTTGGAAAAGTGGTAAAGAGTGGCATTTCTGAAAAGCATTAGAGAAAATCACAATTTTGAAAAATATTTTATCTGAATAATGCCTCTTATCAGCAAATGCTGTTGATTTGGTTTTGCTGGTAGCTGAAATAATTAGCAACTGCATTCCCAACAGCACTGTTGCTGTTCCCCCACCAAAATAGCATTGGCTAAATAAAACAGCAATTTTTGTACAGAAAATTTCAAAAGATTAAATGTGGCATTATATATATATGCAGTCTTTGAGTTTGATTAATTGACCAAAATTTCATCAGGTATCTCAAAAAGCTATTAGTATTCCTAACCAGGTCAAAATGCCAACTATTAAACTACTTATGACAATTAAGCCCCAAATGAACATTTTATATGCAAACCACTTTTGTTTTGAAGATTAGCAAAGACCGAAAAAGCATGAAAGAGGCGAGATTCGTAGTTATCATTTCAATAGTGTTTGAACTGAGTTATGGTTAGTGAATGAAATTTAATAAGATTGAGAGTAAGTTCATTAGCTTGTATCATGGGTGGTCAGGAAAGTTCTATTTTAAGATGTAATTTAGTTAAGCTGGAAGAAGAAAATGTTGTGAGAAATGCACGCTGTCTGCCTGTAAGGGTGGTTTGAATGAATTGGAATACTTCAAGGAGCAACGGAGCTATGCATGAAAGGCAGAAGACAAACTTCATACTTTATTTTTAATTTTTTTTTGCAGTGCTGGGAATCAAACCCCAGTCTCCCACATGGTAGGCAAGTGCTCTACCACTGAGATACATCCTCAGCTCTAAACATTGTAAGACCGAGGGCCTTACCAAACGCTCCGAGGAGCTGACTGCAGCGACGATCACCCGGGAAGGAACACACCGGACAAGTTGGAAAGTAAAACAGACCTTTATTAGTCTGGCCAGACGGCACTCCCAAAGCAAAGTAGCTAAGAGAGGCAACTGGCTCAGAGTCCGAGGCTGTTTTTATAGGGGGTTGAGGGGGAGGTTAACATGAAGATTTACGGAAAACAAGGAACAAAGGTTGGTGGTCAACTGTCACGTACTAACGGTCAGCAGACACACAGTAATGGTCAGGACCATATGGTCACGACCGTCACGTACTGATGATCAGCAGACACAGTGATGAATTGTTCTACCGATAGTGGGTCCGGGAATTTTCGTTCTCCGGACAAACAAGGGGTTGAATGATTTACTTAGGAACTTTGCTTTGTTGCAGATTTTATCTACTATTTCAAGACTAACAAGCACATTCTAACCATTAAATTTTAAACATAACAGAGGCTAGGGGAATAAATGAATTTTGAATCATACAGTCCCACAACATTATGCTTTAAAATGTGTCAGTCTATCCTGGAATATTGATGTTATACATTTATACATCTCTATATAAATACATATAATGTGTGATATATTTTTTTGGGGGGGTACCGGGGATCGAACTCAGGACCTTGGGCTTGCGAGGCAGGCACGGTGTCACTGAGCTAAATCCCCAGCCCTGCAATATCTTTATACATGCTTCTAAAATCCTAAATCAGAATGGTTAATAAATGAATCAACAATATTTGTTAGCACAACACCAAGTAGACTAAGATATAATCCAAGGCACTCGGTTATAGAAGACATCCTCACATTCTGGCAGCAGCGTAAGACAGACAAAAACTGCATTATCTTTTTCCTTGTAGAAGTAGAACTTCACATTAACTGAAGTGAAGATTTGGTATCTTGGTGGGGCTTTCTCATTGTCCTTGATATGTCCTCTAAAGTGCAAACAGGAAAATTTCCTTCTGAATACATAATAAAGTAAGGTTTTAGCAAAGTCTTACAGAAATTTATATATTCTAATCTCTAAGACATAATTGAAGAGTGTGAAGGACTTGCCTGAAAGAATACATGTTCAGTACTGGAGAAAATGAAATTTAAAAAAGCACAAATAAAAAAAAAAGCAAAAGCATGGGAATATTGAGGTCTTGTGTATAGCATATGCTTAGTGTGGATGATAAATACTTCTTCCAAATTCTGATTGTGCAGCTTCTATTTCAGGATAAGATCATCTCTGAAGTTTTAAACTCTCTCTATCTCTATGTCTATCTCTATCTCTAATCTACTCATCCATAAAGCAAGGTTGTGAGTTTTGTCCAAGAATTCAGTTGTCTTATAAATCATAAATTTAAAAGTTAAATCATCTATGATTTGTCCAGCATTGGATATTGGCATTTAGAAACCCATCCTGTCACATTCTAGAGGCAAAGCTTTAGTCATTTGAAAGCATATTTTTAGAGGTCTACCCAGTCTAATTATATGTATACATTTAAAATTTTTTGTGTATAAGAATGAGGAACAACTTCTTTCTCTTCCTCCCTTCTCCTTCTTGATGCCGAGGATGGAATTCAGGACCTCACACATGTGCTTTACCACTAAGCTACACCCCTAACCCTGGGAAATTCTTTGGTAAGGCTAGTTTATATGAGCTAAATTACTGGCTGTACAGCAAAGTCTTTAACATGGGAAACTCTATGTTTCCTAGGCTGAAAAGTTGCTTACTTAAAGAGAATTATTCTATATTTTAGTATGCAGATTTGTATTAAGTGTAGCTAAGGGACAATTTCATATTTAAAGTCATGAACAACGGGCTTTGAAAGCAAATATCATTCATTGTCAGGCAAAGGAGGACCAATTAATAGTGCTGTCATTTAGACAAGTCCTATAGATGGGGCTACAGGACTTTTTGGTGAATCCCTGGACTGGATTAGAGGTTCAGTTATGGGCATAAACCTTCAACTGAAGAAACTGGCACTAGTTTATGAGCTCTATTCCCTATATTTAATAAAGATTGTTTATGACACCTTATTTTTCCCTCATGAGTTGCATAAGGGAGTGCAGAGCATGATCTCAGTTGACGATGAGGCAATTAGAGATGTGCAGACAGGAAATGAAGTAAGCATCTCTGCTCATCTGCATGGGAATATGAACTTCCAGTGAGTTATTGGTCAATTAAGAAGGATCTTTCTTTGCGGGGGCAACCTAGCAGGTACAAATACTTCCTTTCAGAAAAACAACACAACATATTACCCTAGACATAGGAGATATTCAAAAGAACCCTCTTTGTTTTGAACTGCATTTCCTTATTTAAAAATTAATGTCAAGATGGTGAAAACAATACAGACCTATTCCACGAGGGCTGTAGCTAAGTTACAGGAAGCTTATGTAATATCCAGATGTCATTACAGTGTGGTGAATTTCATGTTCAGGTCATCTATTTATACCAGTATCCATGGTGATGCCACCTGCCTAACCATGCAGATTGTTGCCAAGTGTTCTCTTGTTCTTGACTTTGGGGTCTCTTTGGGATCAGCTTTCCCTCAGCCACTTTTGTGGTTCATTCAGACCTGTCTGCTTAAACAAAACACTCAATCATTTGCATTTTGTGGTTCTCTGCCACTGCACCAAGCTTCATCTGGGAATTGGAACATCGATTTTGTTGTTCTTATATCTCCCAAAAAGATTTGGGATTTTGTTGTCCCTCTTTCTACTAGGGATTTATCTTGGGTAAGAAGGGAAGAGATAGTCATAGTACATGAGGTTTTTTTCTTTTTTTTTGGTACCAGGATCGAACTTGGGACCTTGCGCTTTCAAGGCAGGCAGTGGCACCACTGAGGTAAATCTCCAGCCCCATGAGGTTTCTTCCCTAGCTACTGTATTAACAGGCACAGATTACTTTAGCTCAAATGACAAAAATCACAACAGAAGCTGAAATGAGTAGTTATCTCACATGACAAGAGGTCTAGTACAGCAGTTTAACTTTTACATCATCTCTTGCCATACTTTCACTTTATTATTCTTAGCTATTGACTTTTATCATTGTGTTTGTCACCACTGTGCTTTTCATATCTGTCATATCTCCAGGTGTCACACTTATGGTCAAAGTAGGATGAAGGAGTAGCACCAACTATGTTCCACTCAACCAGAAAAGCATGCCCATCTCCAATTTCCTTATATCACGTTGTCTGTATATTCACAAACCCAGAACTATATCTAGAGTTAGCTAGTAATACTAGTAATATTAGTATATGGATTTCTAGCCTGTATAGTTGAAATTGGTAAGGAAACAGGAGGTTGAAAAGACATTCTAAGTTCTCATTTTTTTTCTGTCTTCCTTCCTTCATAGTCCCAGGAAATTTTATATAGTCTCGTTAGGACAGATATTGATTTGACTCATTCAGTACCCATTTCTATTCATCTTCTCCATTGTTTTCTTGTACTCTATAGGTTAGAGACACCTAAATGCTTGATTTCTCAGTTTCTCCAGCCAATTATGGTGTGTGTGTGTGTGTGTGTGTGTGTCTGTGTGTGTGTGTCTGTGTGTGTGTGTGTGTGTGAGATGATAGGGCTTCCTCTCTGAAATTGAAAAAGCCAGAGAGGCTTTCTTGGAAAACTCTTCGCCTTTATCATTTCATTTTCTTCCTATAAAGAACATGGTTTTGATGCCTGTGGGTGCAATAGTTATCTTGTGACCATGAAGGGACAAAATGAGAACACAAGATGATAGAATAAAAATAATTTGGAACATGATGACACTGCAAATCTATTGCATCAGATTTCTAGGGTCTACCCCTGAACTTTTGATATGACTGATATATTCCTACTTGTTTAAGACAATTGTAGAGTTTTCTGCTGTTTGCAATCAAATGTAGTCCTATTAGGCAAGAATGAATATAGTAGCACATGATTGCAATCTCAGCACTCAGGAGACAGGCAGGAGGATCATGAGGCCAGCCTGGTACACAGTGAGTTCAAGGCTGGCCTGGACTATATAGTGAGAACCAGTCTCAAGAAAAGCAAAGCAAAGCAAAGCAAAGCACAGCAAAGAAAAGGTTCAAATATCTTTGCCAACATTTTGCTGTGTTAGAAAATGATGCCATGTAATACAAGAAAAAAAGTCTTGCTTCATTTGTAAAAAAGCACATTTCGCCGTAGTTACAAGTACACAGAAAGCCACCCAAATTAGGCTAGAGCAGGAAGAGAATTTACTGGATGGATATGAGTAAACTCATGGATCTATCGATAGCAAGTCCAGCTGCACTTCAAAATAGACTACAACTAGGAACTGGAAAGTCTTGGGAACCAGGGCAAATATTCCTCTTTTCCTCTATGACCACATGATGTCTTATAATCTGCTTTCTTTTTTATTGGCATTGGCTTTTTCTTCTTTGTGCACATAGCAGAAAATAAATAATTTCTGTCTTATCAGATTAAATAAAATCTCAAAATGAGTACCATTACTTGTATTTTTTTAACTTTTCTGGAGAAATAATCTGATTGGTCCAATTTTTTTGTTTTGCATCAATCTTTAATCAAATTTAGTGGTAATGGGAATGGGATCAAATGACTTAGTATTTCTTAGGTGCTAAGGGAGAATATTCTTCTGAAATGGGGCATGGATTTGTATGTGGGAGGCAGTGAAGAAACAATGGGCATCTCTATTACTCTTGAAATTTTAATCAGCTGAGTGGTGAACCAACTAATGATCCATTCATTCTACAGACATTAGCCTCACTGTTCTTACTCATATGTTCTCTCTCAGGGAATGTCAGTCCATTCAGCTAGTTGCGCATGTCACAAAGCTCTACATAATCAATAATTATCACAGTTAATATGTATTGACTGTATGCATTGTATGATAGGTATTCTACATGTATTATCTTAAATTCAACCTGATTACAACCCTACAAGTATTATCTATTTTCTTGATAAGCAAAGTGAAATTTTGAGATGTTAAGTCAAGCCTTTAACATCTCTTTCGGATTACTGAATAACTTCATGTCTTGTCTATAATCTTCCTCCTCAAATCCCCCTTTTTAAACTCAGCAGTCATAATGATGCTTCTAAAACACAAATTTGATCGATACATTCTTACTTAAAACCCTTTGTCCAAGTTCCTTTACATGATATGTAAAGCCCTCCACAATTTGTGCAATCTCAGTCTTTATGACTTCCATCTGAATCTCTCAGTCACTCTGTCTTCAAATTGCACAGATTATTTGCAGTTTTTACTTTGTGTCTTTTATTTTTAATTAACATAATAATTATACATATTTATGGGTGCATGTTTGCAGCTCTTAGCTTTCATTTCTTATCTCTGTACAACAACCCTCTAGTCATTCTCCCAGCTCACACCTACATGTTACCCACACTTAAAACTCCGTGTAGATGCTACCCTGTTCAGAAACTTCTGTATTGAATTGAATAATTTGTACTCCTATAGCACTCAGCACTTTTCTCCTATACATATTACCAGAGTGCAATTGTTCGGTAATTTATTCCTTTTTTTGCTTTAAACTGTAAATTATTTGGAGGGATTATGTTTTGTTCAGTGCTAAATACTCTAAGACTGGTATAGTGCTTGGCATATAGTGACTGCTTAACAAACATTTATTAAATGAATGATTCTTAAATTTAGAAGTAGTCCCAAAGCTACCTGGAGAGAAACAAATATTCAGCATTTCTTGTTTAGGGAATGGATTATCCTGACAGTTGGTGCCCTGTCAACAAGCTTTTGGATTACAATATATAAAACCTGAGCACAAAAAAATTTAAACATAAAAGTAGTTGAGAAAACATGTCATAAAATCATATAAGCGATATACAACAAACTAAGACTGTCAAACTTAGTGTAAAATAAAGAAAGCTGAATGAAACAATATGATTGGGGAGAAAAGGAAGAAATCGAATATTTTTCAGAGTTTACTAAATGAAATGTACTTTGTTGATACTATCTTATTTAAGCCTCACAATAATTATTTGCTATTGTTACTACACAGTAAGAAAGATTAAAAGATTACTGAGTCAAATTAGAGGAAAATAAACTGAATGATGGTGTATTTTGGATACAACAAATGACCTATAAATAAGAAGCAAATGAAGGAAATTATAATCAACCCCAGAAAATATTATGGAGATCATTTCAGGGTAAATCCTACCACACCCAAATTATCCTGTTAGTCTGGCTTTCTGGATCCGTTTTTGAGCTCTTTCTCCTAAAGTGATTTCTTTCACTCTTTCATCTGCTTTGGGGAAATACTTCTTTTCTTCTACCAGGACAAATTCTACTTCTTGCCTCAAGCTCTGTCTCATTGTAACTCCTTCTTTTTTCCTCTTTGGGTGTTGGGGATGAACCTAAGGCCTTGCAGTGCTACAAAAGAGCCCTACCACTGAGCTACACCCTTACCTTTAAGCTTCTTTTGAGCAAAACTTATGAGTCCTGTTTTTTAATTTAGTTATACTTTTTCCAATTTAATGAAGGCACCATGACCTCTTGTATCGAATTTAGGCCCTTGCGCTTGTGAGACAGGCAGCGGAACCACTGAGCTAAATGCCCTGCCTTCTAGTAATTCTCCTGGATCCTCTGGGACTCCTGTAAAGAAAAAAAAATGAGGTGTTTTATGTGAAAATGTTTTTCAAACATTTGGTAAAATGCTGCAAAATGTTTGTAACTGGCTACATACAAAACCAAGACAAATTGGGTTTCTGTGCCAAAGAAACCCAAAGAGGCAGGTCTCTAGGGAGAGGAAGCCGCGGGTTGCCGTGTGACGTCATTATTCTGCGACAGCCGCGACGGTTTCCCAGCTGGGCTCAGGACAGTCTTGCAAGCCATGGGGTTTTGGCAGCGTCTATTGTTCTTTGGTGGCCTGTCACACCGGGGTGGTGGCCGGGTCCCTTGCTCGCTTAGGGGTATCCGAGCATTGGTTTTTCGCCGCCAGGTCCGTGGTATTGCAGAGAGAGCATAGGGAGGCGGGTGGGATGAAGATTCCGGGCGGCCCGGCTCCAAGTTTTCTGGCGTTGCCTCTTGCCAGGGACTCAACTCAGTCCCTTTTTGGCGCCCTCCCCCTTAGGGTCACAGTGAGACCTTTATTTGGTGGACTTTCCCATTTTCTGGCAGGCCCCCAGTTGGTCCAGGCTGAGGTGTGGCGGGGTCTGAGAAAGATTGAACACGGATGTCTGTCTTGCACATTACTTTCGTGGTTTGGGGTTATTTTGTAAATATGTTAAAGAGAAGGCAAACGTCAGGATTTAACTCTGTAACGAAGGCACTTACTTATTTTCCATTTTTAAAAGTTAGCGTACGCTGGCAAATAAATTTCAATTTAAACATGTATCTTTACAGTTGTAATCAGTAGTGCTGACAGTAGGTAAATAGCACTCAAAGGTTGAACCTAGTGGAAATGAGGAGAGTTAGAAAAGAAAGCTTTGTCAGTCGCAAACCCCGGATTGTTACTTTTACAGCATAAAAACTTTCTTTTTTTCTTTTGAAGTTATCTGGCGCTGAGAGTGAGAACCTAAAACAAAGAAGAGCACAAATCATGTCCCGAGGACTTCCAAAGCAGAAACCCATAGAAGGTGTTAAACAAGTTATAGTTGTGGCTTCTGGAAAGGGTGGAGTTGGAAAGTCTACTACAGCAGGTATTATAGGATATTAATTCTGATACTGATTAAGAACGTATTCCAACTGACAAATTATTAAATTATAGTTTAAAAATGTTTAGTATTTGTGAAGTTTCTAACAGCTGGTTCCTTAGTATTAGGTGTTAGATTACGGAGTTAGGCAAAATTAAATATAGAACCAGGAAATATAGAACCAAGTTGTCTTCTAAACTGGTCAGGTGTCCCCCAGATCTTCAGTTTACTTGAGTGTGAAACCTCTTTCATAGGATGGTCATGCAAATTAAGTAAGCTAACCAGTTAGCCCTGTGTCCTCCATAGCAAGTGCTCAATAATTGATTGTTGTCATTTTTAAGATATCTACATTAATACCAAATTATTTCTGTTCCTTTCCAGTCTTTACCAGTGGACATATAGTTAGGTATTTGCAATGAGATTGTTTATTATGGGTTTTTTCATTTAACCATATTACAGTTTTCACCATTTTTATAGTCAACATAGAATGAATATTTGAAAATGCATGAGAGATTTAACATTGTTTTAATTACTATATCTTTTAGTACTATATTAATGTACTATGAACAGAGAATTTTTTGGTGGCCCTTTTTATTGATTATAGGTTTGTCTCTAAAATGGTACTTTCAAAACACGCAGAAGACATGCCACCAGAAATTGAAGAGTTAACAGTCTAGTTATTTCCAAAGATTTCAAAAGAAACTTTTAATTTATGAAAAAAATTATTCTAGTAAATGTAAATATAAAAGAGAAACTTCTTATACTCCTACTCATTACCAGTGAATTGAATTATTTTTTCAGCTTTATTGAGATATCTTGACAAATATTGTACCTATTCAAGGTGTGGGATTTAATGTTTTGATATATGTATATATTATGAAATGATTTCTACAATTAAGCTAATTAATGTATCCATCACCTCGGGCTATTTAGTTCAGTAGTGCTTGCCTAGCATGAGCAATGCCTTGGGTATAATACTAGTATTGGGAAAAACCCAAACCAAACCAAAACATCCCTCACTTCACTTAGTTACCTTTTTGTATGTATGTATGGTAAGACTACTTAAGATTACTCTCAGTGAATTTCAACATGTTGTACATTAGGTCTGCAGAACTTACTCAATCTCATAACGGGCGAACTGTTCTTTGATTTGTATTGTCAGAAAGCACTCTTATCTTACACTTATCTCATTGAATTTTCAGTTATTTCATTAGGAATGGCTCTTAATTCAGGTCTTATGCAAGATCTTTTTTTTGCTGTTGATTAAAAAATGATTATCTTTAATATATTTCATTTTGCAATTTTGGCCTGGTTCTAGACTGACAAGATTTTTAAAATTCTGAGTTTTTTTTCAGACTATTAACCCAAAATTATAAAGCATATTTACATTAAAATTCTTCAGTTACATTGAGATCAACATTTTGAAATAAGAAAGACCAGGTACCAAATTCTGTGAATGTCATTGGAAATCTTTTGTGTTGACTTGAAGCCATATTCTGTGTGTTTTTTAGGGATAACAATTGTATAGTACAACCAGCTATAAATCCAAGCATAGAGTGTTAGTAGCTCCTTTTTTCCCCATTTTAAGTTGAAGAGAATTGTGGAAGAATATCTCAGATGTTTTGAAGAAATTAAGATTTATCAAATATTGCATTTGTGATATACTCCTTACCTATTAGTATTCGATAGATACTGTATTATATTATTTTTTAAAATGATTGTTTCTTTGTTCTTAGTGAATTCATGCCATGTCCTACACATTTTTGCTTTCTTTCCTGAGGGCCTGCCACCTGTCTGATGTTTTGTTTTTAAAGTTTTTAAAGTTTCCTAGTTCTAGAATCGTATTATAGAATCTGCTTCCTCCTGTTTTTTACCTAATTCAGTGGTTTGGGTCCTTTTGCATACTCTATGATTACTTGAACTGGATAAAAATGGGAAGTATTTTCATGATCATAAGTATAAGTTTTTTGGGTTTTATACAGTGTTATTTGTTGGGTCTCTAGGCTAGCCCTTGATTATAACAGACTGCTTATGGTTTTAGCTGATCTATTTCTGTGGAATGTTAAATCATTTAAATAGAAGAATATATGAGAAGTATACAGTGTGTGACACATAGTAGATACTTAAGTAAATGCTCCATCCTCATTTTTTCCTGTTAATGTTAAATTATGTGTTCCAAGTAGCTCTGTTAGCATACCTAAACCTTAGAAATAGATAACGTAACTGTTGGTATTATATTTCTTTCCCTTGTATATATTTATTACTGTCCCAAACTATTTCAAAATACTTACTATTTGAATATGTATGCTAGAGTTATTTTGGATTAGAATGATGACATCTGTTTAGTTACAAACATGCTCTGTGATTTTATGCACAGGAAGAAACTAACTTTAAGATCAATTATTCTCTAAAGATTTCTGCTTAAAAGTTGGATTATGTTTATATGTATCTAAAATTCAGAATTATTTTATAATTTATAAGTGAATTTATCAAGTTCCATGCTCTAGGCCAGTGGTGACAAAGCTATGACTTGCCGAAATGGGCTGTCTGTATCACTGAAAGCTCTAAAAGGTTTGCCATCACTGCTGTAGCCTAAGTATTTTACATACAGTATTTCATTTAATCCTCAATAGTTGTGAAGTAGGAATTCTGTTTATTTTATAGAGGAGGAAACAGACTTACAGGTAAAATAACCTAATCAAATTTAAATAGTCGATGGTGGTGGAGTTGGGATTTGAATGAGGTCTGCCTTAAAGTTTATGCTCTTAACTACTTTAAAGAAACATTTACTTCATTGTCCTATAAGGAAGCATGAGGGTCTATTTATCAGATTTGGAAATATATTACTTTAGGACTTCTCAGATGTCGTGTATTCTTACTGTAGGGCTAAATATGGCGTTAGCATTACTGTTTTCCTCCTTTATGTCTCTGGGATTCACTGGCATAGGCAGTTTGGGAAACACATTTTCCTCCCTTACCTCTGTGCACAGTGGCCCAGCCTTTTATATACAGGTATATTTATGTGTTAGATGCTTGGAACTCCTACAATACCAGCATTTAAAAAAGACAATAGGATTATATCTATTTTTATTTATTAATTAGTATATAATTTTTCTACAAAATGTGCTTTTGAAAATAATTGAACTATGTATTTCATTAACTAAAAAATGAAATAGATTATTTGAACAAAATTGTAACATTATAAATGGGCTACTTAAAATCTTAATTTTTGGGCAAGTGTATATCAGTTATATTGTAAAATTAGTTTCTTTTTTGTCTTTATATTTTCTGCATTCTCTCCATGTTCTTGTTCTTTACAAGTAAGGGAGATGTGTGAAAAATTTCTGTGCTTTGGCTATTGTACTAAAAATATTAAATGGTACAATAATTTTAATGAAAGGAAAGTTAACTAAATTTAATTACTTTTTTTTTCCAGTAAACCTTGCACTTGCACTGGCAGCGAATGATTCGGTAGGTGTTAATAGAAACATTAATGCATTAAAATATTTTTAAGGCAGTGATAAAGAGCATATTGTTTTTCATTTATTTTGTCAGAAGCTATATGGTGTAATCTCAGTCATGTCTTTAAGGAACTGAAAGTGCTGCTATTAGTACTTGTTTCATTTAATGATAATGATGATGGATTTAAATGTTGGCCATATATTTTTTGCTTTGCATCCCACAGAAATCTTTCATGTTCGTGCATGAATGTCACATATTAAGCCAATTTTCACCATTCATTATGTACATAAGATTATTCTGGGTTCAGTTTTTAAATGTTAGTATTGATTGTTTTTATGGAAAAAGATACTTTAAAAGTAGTGTATGCCCATTGAAACAAAATTCAAATAGAATATGTGTACAACATAAGACCGAAGGTTCATCAACTCCCCTTTTAATACCAAAACATTAACTGTAGGGAGTAATTTTATGTATATCCATTTAGCTTTCTTCTCCATAAAGAAGATTTAAAAAATACACATGTATATGTATATGTACATACACACACATCTTTCTGTGATATGTCTCATTCTTGATGGCTGCTGTATTAATGGCAGACCATAATAATTAACCAATTTCTTTTTTTAAATTTTTTTTTGAGGCAGGGTCTTGCTTTGTACTTCAGGCTGCCCTTGGACTCACTATGTAGCCCAGGGTGGCCTTGAACTCACAGCGATCCTCCTCCCTCAGCCTCCCAAGTGCTGGGATTACAGGCATGTGCCCCTATGCCCTACTCAACCAATTTCTTTTTGATGAAATAGTTAAGTTGGTTCCCTTTTTTTCTTGTTCTAATAATACTACAGTGGAAATTTTCTGTAATAATGATATGCTAATTAATAATATTTGTAGGATAGATTTCTGGAAATAAAATTACTAGATCAAAATGTCTGTACAGTTTAAATTGTATGTATGTACTTAAAATTTTGCTTTATTTTTTATTTTAGCTACAGCCTATGGGAGTATCCATTTTTCATACTCTCATTCATGTTAGGTAATAGCTATCTTTCTAGATATTTGAAATCAAATCAGAATGAATACTGAATATATTATGGATCTCTATAAATTATTACTTAATAACACATATTTTTCAGAATTGCTTTCAATTTCTCGTTTATACCTATTTTTAAAAAAATAGGCAAGAATCATTTAATATGTTTAGGTGTGACTGCGCTTCTAGCTTATTTTCTGCCATTACTGTGCAATTTCAGTTCCCAATAGATAGGACATATGAGAAAATAATGTATGTTATCTGTACAGGTATGACATTGATGTAGGGAGTCCAGAATCTGCCAGAACCCAGAAGCAGACATGTAGATACTCATGTCTTCTGATGTTTGACTCTGTTATTTCTGAAAATTGGAAAATAATAAAAGTAACAAATAATATTTGATATAATATAAACCATGTTATTACAATAATAATAAAATAAAATAAATTTTAGTCAGCTAAATTTTATTCACTGCAGAATCACTAGTGTAATTGGATGTTTGGAGAAGAAAATATAATCATGTTTCTCTTCAGTTATGCTCCTAGAATGAGAAAATTCTAACAGTAAGGTGAAAGGTTTTCTTTTTAAATTTTCTTACAGCTTTTTTACTTTCATGGGGGACCCACTTTGTTGTATCCATCTTGTCTTCTTTCTTGAATTTTTTTGTTTTCCTAGAGGACATTCTTGAATCTTTCTGGGGTTTGGTGGGGCAGAATAATGATCAGCCAAAGATGTTCACATTCTCATTGCTAGAGTCTGTGCATATATTTCCCTTCATGACAAGAGATTTGCTAATATGATTAAGTTAAAGATTTTCAGATGGGAAGATAATCCTGCATTATCTGGGTAGGTTCAATGTAATCAGGAAAGTCCTTATAAATGAAAGAGGGGACCAAAGCAGACAAGTCAGAGAGATTTCATGTGAGAAGAACTCAGTCCATCATTGCTGGCCTTGAAGATGGAAGGGGGACCACTGCTCAAGGAATGTGGGTACCATCTAGGAATTAGGAAAGACAAGGGAATGTATTCTGCTAGCTCCCAAAAGGCATTCAGTTCTAGCAACACCTTAATTTTAGCTCACTGAAACCCATTTGAACTTGTGTGACAATTTCTAACAAAAGAAGTAGAAAACTAATATATATAGGAAGTAAAATCTCTTAGTTCTTTTTTTGGTTAAATTTCTTAGTTCTTTAATTCCAAAGATGTTCATATTTAATAGTTTAACCAGAGATGTAATTCTAGATTCAAAATAATTTCCTCTTTGAATTTTAAAAACAATATACAATTTTCTTCTAGCATGCTAATGAAATATCTGATGTTAGTCTGCAGATTCCTTTGTAATATCATATATTTCGTTTTCTCAAAACTTTTAAGGTTTCTTTTTTTCTTTTTCTATTTTTTGGTATGGCCTCGGTTGGCCTCAACCTCACAATCCTTCTGCCATAGCCTCTGAAGTAGGTAGGATTATAGGTGAGTGTCACTGTGCCTGACTGGCTTCTAAGTTTAAAATTGTCACAAATATGTGCTTAGTTGTTAGCTTTAAAAGCTTTTATCTGCTTGGAAATGGCTCTTGTACTATCAACGCTGAGTCTTTTTCAGTTGAGGGAAAACTTCTGTCATTGATTATTTTTGGTGATGTATTTGTTCTTTCTCCAGAATCCTATTAGGTAGATATTGACCTTTTATACTTGCTAATTTTTCTCTGGAGACAGGCACTGGAACCACTGAGCTAAATCCCTGGCTAATTTTTCTCTCGTATTTTCTATCTCTTTGTCTTTTCTGTGATTTGCAAGATATCTTAGACTTTTTCACATTGCTATATTGAATTTTAGTTGTTTAGCTCTTCTGAAAAATTAATTTTTAATTTGGAAACTATGTTTTTTCTAGTTTTCCAGAACTGTTATCTTCCACTTGTCTCTCAAAAAAAAAAAAAAAAAACAAACCAAAAAAACAACGTTGTTCTATTTCCTTGAATCTCTTTGAGTATGGTAATTAGAATTACTAAAAACTATTTTTAATGATCTTTGCTTATTTAATATGGTGGTTCTCATAATGTGGTACTCTTATTGGCAGAATCAGCAGCACCTGGGGACTTGTGACATGGGCCTGGAACCCCATCCTAGACCTATAGATCAGAAACTTTGGAGGCGTAGTTCTGTAATCTGTATTTTAACCAGCTGTATAGGTGATCTGATGCTAAAGTTTGAGATCGTGAATCTAGAATTTCTTTTGAGTGATGGGGATGGAACCTCAGATCTGGTGCCTGCTGGACAGTACTCTACCATTGAATTACATCCACAGCCTTAGAGTTCTTTTAAACTTCTAATCTGTTGGTAGCAACTTTTTTTGTTTTCCAGGACAGTTGCAGTATAGTTTTAAACTACTTTTTTCCCCTTGTCATTTCAGTGGAATTTGGAAGAAAAGAGATGTACTTGTATGGTTAGGCAACCTTATTGAGATAAGAGTCAGTGATATATTAAAAGCTACACTATGGAGCCCTGATGAGGGGCTGGTTAAGAATAAAAGTAACAAACAAACAAAAAAAAAACAGTGATTTTTTTTTTTTTAATTAGGACACTTAGTTAATTTGGAGAAGGATCTCCATCTTCCTTATGGAAGGAAGGGAACAGGGGAAGTTCAGGAGGTGGGAAGGTAGATAAATTTCCAGTATGGATCTCTCTTAATTTGGTTATCATTTTAGCCAAAGCATTGACTTATAGACAATGTGAAGTAAGTATGTGCTAAGGAATCAAAAGGTGAAAAAAATGGTCAAAAAAGGGGTTGATTCCTTTATGTTAAATGTTTTCTAGTTTTGATGAGATATTAGCTTGGGAAATTTCTTTTTCTGTTTCTTGCGGGCAGCAGGGATGAGGATAGCTTGATCTTTAATGCTTGTTTATAGGACAAGAAAATTGACAACAAAAAACAGTAAGACTGTCCCTGACTACTTCTTCAGAAAGCATGCAGTCTCTTTAAAGTGTTTTTAAAAAAGTTTGTTAAATCTCCCTTAAGAAGATCTTTAGTGTTTTATGATCCTGATGAAGGTGTTATTTTTATTTTTTGACATTTTGTACCAAAGTCAGTGCAGAAATTATGAAGAAAGCCAAGAAATGTGAGCAGCATATTTTGATAATTCTAAGGTAATATGACATAGTACTTCATGTCCTCTGTAATAAATTTATATGTACTTAAGAAAGAGAAATTTAATATAGCTTATATACTTGATTAATAGTGTTTTTGATTAGGGAGCAGCATGTTTGGCTTAAATAAGTTTTTTGAAATATGATCTGCCCGAGACTGCCTGCATATAGAAAAGAAGAGCTGTATCTGTTCTACCTGATTTATATGAATCTGACAGAGCCCTTTGCTCTGTATTTCCCAATTTAAGATTTTATTAATATGCTTACTTAGAGGACATGTTTGGTCTTTGGAGGAAGCTCATGGTTCCTCCTAGCTGTTTGCTGACAGGATGCAGCTGGTTTAAGTCCATGGACAGTTATTGAGGCATGATACAATATGTGTTGTTTTAAGTGGTAAAAGCTGCAGTTAGGTGGTGTCTTTGGAGCCTCTCTAGTAATTCATTACCATGGCGTCTTAATTATTCATGGAGCTCCTATAGAAGAGGATCTCTGACCTGCTACTTCTTGAGCCAGCTTTGTTGAAGACCTTGCAAACTCCTTTTTTCATACCTTTTCATGGGGTGGGTGCTGGATTTTCTGCACTGGAGTAGGAAGATCTAATAAGATAAGGTTGTAGATCTAGGGCAGTGGTAGCGAACTCACAACATGCATGCTGCAGGGGGCTCTTTGTATCATGGAAAGCTCTAAAAGGTTCACCATCAGTGTTCTAGGAGAAATAGGTTCAGGAAGCTATTCACTTACTTTTTTTTGGTGATGATGCCTGGGATCAGGGCCTTTATTTTTAATATTGGCTTTAGTAATCTGTAAAGTAGATTGTGTAAACCCTAGAAGGGTATATAAGA